CAAATTCTGTAAAGATTAAAGTGCTTTTAAAAATACTGCCACTGAAGATACAATCACAGTAATAAGTAGACAGAGGAATGTGTGCTTTTCCTATATGATTTATTACCAAATCTTTGACACAGAGGAAAAGCTCTCCCGAAGCAAGCATGGAAATTGTTTTGGTATTGTTTCTTCTTGCTTCAGTGAAAATGCTGGCACAATCCTCAGATGGTGCTGGTTTTTTGGGTGCTTCCAGGTGTACTTATCTAGAAGCCAGAACTGAATATCCCAAAGGAACAGACCAAGAAGCCTATCTAGTTGGTCTGTCTTCAAACTATTTGCTAATCTTGCTAAAATATCTGAATTAATAATCTCTTCTCAAGTAGGCATGGATAAATCAACTTCTACAGGCCTTTAATTACTTAAAGTATGTTGTGGTCTTCCAAAAGGAAATGAATTTAGGTCATTGTGTATTACTTGACCTCATGTTACTGTTCTGCCTTGTCTACAGAGAACAACAAAATATGTGTTTCCACAAGCAGATTTGTAAGGTAATGTTTGGCAAGCAGAGTGGTTATTTCTACCAGCACTTCTGCTGAAGTTATGTGACAGATCATCCTCCTAACATTGTAGAACACCAAAAGCTTGATCTTCTCATGCAATAAAACACAAAAATATGAAAGTGTATGCAACAACCAAACCAAGTTATAAAACATGCAAAACACTTTCAAGCATGCAATGCCACCTCAGAAGGAACAACCATTTGGCTTCCACTGCACAGATGAAAGGAGAGAACAGTTCTTGGAGGGGCAATAAAAAGAGAGTGATATTTTTCCTTAGCTCTCAAACAAGCTTTTAGGGGGACATAAAGGAGAGTGACATGTATTCATTTGCTATGGTGTTAGCATACGGCGGATGAAATTCTTTTTTGAATTCTGCCTCCCCGTATTTGGTGCAGCATTAAGATCCACTGTGACCTCTCCTTCTCCCTTTGCCTCTTTCCAGCCCATCTCATCAGGCTCCTGTCACTCCTTCCTTTTTCCCTGTCTCCTTTCACAGTCCCACCCACCATAGCTGTCCTCATTAATGGCAAGGCCAGAGATGTAAAATCTTTTTCTCTGCTCTGACACTTGCTTGAGTTGGGAGAAGAGGCACAAGGTAAGCCAATTCCCTACAGATCTCATCAGTGGCATAAGGGAGGCAACTCACCTGTCCGACTTGTCACCTGCACCTTATTTCATGGCAACAGGACCTTCAGAAACTCACATTACTCACCATTGATAAAGGTTTATTAGTCTCATTCTGGCTGCCATCCAGAGTCAACTATACTGCATCAGAGCAGAAGGGTCTGTCCCTCCATGTGAATACTAGCATAGCTCACCTGGGAACTCACAACAGAAACTGGAGAGCACTGTGTAGCATATGGAGGAATTTTCTGAAGAAATTAAGTAAGTTGGGTTCACCAGACACTTCACTGAAGCTCAAAGCAATGCTTGCTTCACAGTCTTCACTGAAAGTGAAAAGTAAGCAATTTTCCCTGGGTTTTGCTTTCAGGATCAGAGCTCAGGCAGCAAGCCCTAGATGCAAGTAATTTAGTACACATAAGCTTGTGTGGATTGCTCTCAGTTGCAGTATAAATTACATTTCACCTGTTTATATCAGAAATCTTAAAGTGCAAATATACCAATAAATGTGATGATTAATGACCAATAAATACTGACTGATGAGGCTTCTCAGAAAATCTTTTACCTTCAATAGCTTTCTAAAAACCTCTACATCTATAATTGTGCAACAATTATATAGCTGTTTAATCCAAGAAATTACTTTCTTATTATTCACCAAGTAATTGGTAAACGTTCACTTCCACTATTGCTCAGTCACACAGTTTTACTGTGCCTTGCTGGCACTGCTATAATCCTCTTCCACCTTGAACACCTTGAAACACCTGGCATTGGTTGATCTGCTTGTCCTTTCAGTCCAGTTTTGTGAAAAGCCCACAGAACTCACTTCCATAACCTCTTGGATAATCAGCACAGCCAGGCATTTTGTTTTCTTAGGTTACTGACTTTTATTCAAGTATGTTTTCAGAAGTTTGTTTTTTTTTTAAATTAGTGTTTTCATTATGCTTATCTAATACATTTTTCTTATTTTTAAAAAATGTAATAAACCCATCCAGTCGAGTACATCATCACAGCAGAGGTAAATGACAACTGCAGAAAGCTGTGAATCTAAGCCTGTGTAATTCCAGTTTCAACCCACCATTAACCTCTTCTTGAAGTGGGCAACAAAAAGAAATGGTCAACAAACACAGTATTCTGACTAAGTCTACTAAAGTTAGTTATATAAACATAACTTTGCACATATTTTTTTTTTTTTTTAATATATTTACTTCCTCTTGTTTTTAAAATGTACTCGTATATTTACTTTCTATAGTTTCCTATGCAGACAAGATAAAGAAACTCATGTAAACAGCTAGCAGGTACAGTGAAATTGATTAGGCACAAAATCAACTCGGTCATTCAGAAGACATTGTTTATTGTTAGCTCCAAGTTAAGCAAAATAAAAAATACAGAACAGCTGACTTCAACCTCTTCCATCCAAAATCAGCAAACATTGTATATTATTTATCAGTTATCGGCTAACAGGTTATTTTGTCAACATCAGTGAAAGAGAATAAATTTATTAGATTTGACATGATGGTTCAAAGGTAGATGAGCTCTGGGAATGGCATATGGGACTTAGTTCTCTTCTGACTCAAAATATTGAAAAGGATGTTAACTGGGGATTTTTCTTTTTCTTTGATGTCAGTTCTGAGCAAAGTGGACCTCATTCTGTAGGTCACTTTTGAATAAGAGATGGATTGGTAAAGCTTCATATGCTAATTAGTCTATAAAAATATTCTATTTTATTCTTATGCACAGTTGCCTCAAGATTGAGAAGTTATGCTAAAGAAGCTGGGTTTTTTCAAACTTTCCTTTCTTTGAGGGAGGGAAGTCAGAAGAAAATAATCTTTTCTTTCTTTTGAACGCTGTGATGGCTCAAAAGAGAAACAATGCCTGATTCTCTCTTGAAACTTCTTGCTATGGATATCACACAAACAAAAATGTATTATTTCTAGCCTAGAAAATTAAAAGTACAAGAAAAAGTACTTGTGGAGAAAAGCCTTGGAAAGGAAAAACATTAACCAGATATGGCTTGACAAAGCCTTTGAATAAAAGGACTTCTGTCAACAAATCTGAACTGCACTTATGGCCTTGTTAGAAACTGTGTCAGTTCAACGGGCAAAGGTATCAATCTTAACCCAAAATGATGTTACTTATTAATCCAAATGCAAGTCTCTATAGGATCATTTACTTATTGATTTCTCAATAAATTACTCAAGAGTAATTTTTTGTTACTCTTACTACTTTCTCAATAACATGTCTGCAGGCAGCAACCTAAAAACTTCCTCCAGCATAGCAATGACTGAAACCACTAACCAACCTTGAACTCATTTTTTTCCCTTCACCTTATAAAGCTGAGAAAGATTAACAAAAGCAGCTATGGTAACAATCACAAACACAGTCACATGAGAATGTCTTTGATGTCCCAAGTCAGTCCTGAAGTCATGCTACTCACATATTTTTAGCTATTCTCCCTGATGAAATAGAATGGTCACTAGTACTTTATTGATCTCTTTCAACAAAATGTCATCAAACCATTATCACTAATGATGTTGCAAATACATGGAGTTAATCAGCAGATGTAAAGGCAGTCAGTCAGGAACAGTCCCTTCCCAGAGGGTCTGAAAGTGTGGATTTTTTTCCACTGGGCCAGAAATGAGGAATTATGAAAGTTTTACCAAACAAACAGTGAAGTCCATTTGATGTTCTAAAGTCTGTTCTGTGTTAAACTGGCACAGTGTGAGGTGCAGCTCTGAGGTACTGTGGCTAGACAACACAACTGTTTTTAAATAGAGACTGATATCTTTCTGATAAAATTAGAGGCAACTGCTATAAATATCTAGTATCCTCTCCTATGAGGAAAGACTGAAAGAATTGAGGCTGTTTATCCTGGAGAAGAGAAAGTTCCAGGGAGACATTACTGCAGCCTTTCAATATTTGTAGAGGGATCATTGTGAAAAATGAGGACAAACTTTTTAGCAGCACCTGTTGCTACAGAACAAGGGACAATGGCTTTAAACCAAAAAAGGGTTGTTTCAGGCTAGATATGAGGAAGAAATTGTTTACAAGGAGAGCTGTAAAATGATGGACCGGGTTACCCAGAGATGTGGTAGGTGCCCTATCCTCGGAAACATTCAAGATCAGGTCAAATAGGGCTCTGAGCAACTTGATCTAGTTTATGATGTTCCAGCTCATTGAAAGGTGGGTTGGATTAGAAGGCCTTTAAAGGTCTCTCTCATCCCAAAACCACTCTGTAATTCTAAAATTTTCACCTGGCAAAAATGAGGATATTTTTAAAAAAATTCTGAGTACAAGGTTTCGCTTCAGTCTTTAACTGTGATTACCAAGCCAAAAAGAAAAATTTTTTTTTTTTTTTTAGAAAAAATACAACTGACAAGAAACAGCATAAGCAATCAATTTACTTCAACCATGAAATTGTTCATTATTATATAGAGTATAATTGTAACACTGGATGGTCAACGTTGGTGTCTTTCTTCTTCTATTTCAGGACAAAACACATTAATGTTGGGGACAGTAAATTAGGTATTAAATACAACTGGGTACTCACAAGTTGTGGCTAAGTTCTTTCCATTCTCATTGCTGAAAGCTTATCCTCCAATAAGTTGCTCCAATGCAACAGGAAGAATTCATGAATGAATGCATCAATAAATGCTTCCTACAGCAGAGCTCACCACAAATTCTTTGTAATACTTCTAAGGAGTTTACAGGCCTTTATTAGTTACATAAAAATCCCAAAATCTGCTTTTCCTGACATACACTTCCTCCCCTTTTCACAATACCAAACTAGACAACTAAACATGAGCATGAATCAGAGTCAATGACCCTGTGTGTACTTACCATGTACCACATGCTTGGCCACTTGGGATCATTGAAATAAGTGGATTGGGTACCACCAGGTTTATAATCCCTCTTTATCCTTCTTTTAACCACCTGCTGTTGTATCCACTCCACCTGCAAACCAGAAAAACATACGAAGAATGTTATGGTGCTGGAGATTATGAAGAAATGTGCGAAAATTTAGGATTGTTCTCATTACCACACTCCAAGGCATATTTCATATTAAAGAATTCATTTTGGCAGTAGAAATTGTGCAGATCACCTTGACATACTGTTCACTAAGGAATACATTCAATTTAGCTAGTGTTACAAATCTATCTGAACAATTGCTTAAATACCCTGCTAAAAAGACTTCATCGGATATTACCTTTTAAATACTATTATCTTCCAATTTTTCTTTATCAGACTTACTCTTCTTCTGAATTTATAAAAACTCATACAAAAAATCTAACAGCATATTACAATGAGGAATTAATTGAATTTCTAAAAGAGTTGGTCTGTTTTTATTTTTATCTTTCTCTTCCAGAAAACAAAAACATTAAAAAATATATTCAAAAGTTTTGCTTTTAGACCAATATGTAAATCACCTTCACCACTTGGAGAGAAAAAAAACCCCCAACATTAAACTTTATTTTAAGTTAAGTGACTCCTTGTCAAGATTTTCTCAGAGAGGCACTCTGGAATTTTATTTTACAGTAAGCACTCCTCTGTGAGAAACAGCTGGATACTGAGCAACAGTTCTAATTAAAACAAACAAAAAAATGACCTTGAAACAGGAAAAGAAATACAAGGGTTAAAAATCTAATTCTGGAAGTTATATTTGTCTGTCTTTCTTTTCAAAGACTCATGATACATCCAAAGAAAGGTAATGCCAAAAGTGACATCAACCTTAGAGTGAGGACTCTGCAGCTATTTCTGTATTAGCTATTCTAAATGGGAGCTAGTTTCAATAAATGTAAATAATATGAACTAAGAACAGAAAAAGCCCATGGTATATTCACACACATCTAGCAGCTTATACTTCTGATTAATTGTTTCAAGTGATATAACTATAAAAATTCAATTTATATTTCTCCAAGCAAGACAGCTGTCCTCTCCTAGCAGCCAACTCAGCATCTTTTATTTGTGCTGTTTGAATATCTGTGTATGCACATAAACATACAAATGTGTCAAAGAAGTTACTTTCAGGTCACATAATTGTTTGTCACTGGTCACAGACAGTATAATTATTTTCCTTTAGCAGGCTAATCTCTCTACTTGCATTCACAACACAACTTCAGATCCTTAGCCTCTGGCCTCTACTTCTTGGTCAGAAAAAAATGCAGAAAGACATCTCTGAATTTGTCCAGCGAGGATTCCTAGGACAGTCCTTATAGAGGATGCATGGTTTTCATGGTTTTCTTCATAAAGAAAAAATGAAATTTTCTCCTTCCCCAGAACTAACTTTAGGATCAAAAGTATTCTAGTGACCAAATTATGCAGTCTAAGAACATAGACTAGAAGGTAGAGCTGACACTGAAACTCATTTCTCCGTTAAGTCTTTTAGGAGCAATGGTTAGCAACTTTATGGTTCTATGAGAGTGGAGAAATTTGACATTGCGCCTTTCTCTCTTGCTTACTGTCACCTCTTCCAGGACAGTTTGAAATCCCCCATGACACAACAAGAGCTAAGTGCTCCCTGACTGACTGGATCCAGGTGTTTTCTGCTAAAGATGACAACTAATCATTCTCAGGACATAACAAGTCTGGAGGCCTGTAGGATACACAAAGCATGTCTGGGCAAAGGCCAAAGAAAGTCAAGTAAAAAGACTTTAAAGCCTAATGGCTGCTTTAAACTGGGATCAACAAGCCTCTTAACTAACTCTCTCCTCCATGAGAAAGACTCATCTTTAACTGAATAATGAACCTTGTTGTCCTTACTTTTGCTGCTAATATATGCTTTCTTTCCCAGACCCTCACAACAGAAGCTTGCTATTCTTCAAAGCGTCTTTTTTTGCAGGTAGCCCATACTTACCAACACATCACAAACCAAGAAATTGGCATCCTATGTACTGTTTGGTTTCTGACTCCCCACCTGCCTGGACTGCCACAGACCATGGGCCTCACTTCTATTACCACTATTTACCAGTCATTAGCTAAAAAGTTCAACGGGTCTGAAAAAGCAACCATGGCCTTTCACGGCTTATACAGATCTACTTTGGAAGTCTCATGAGATTTGGGTGTCAGTGCTAGAAACACTTTCAGCTGACTGAGGGGTCTCAAGTTTCTATGCTGCAAGAATATTTACTGTTATTTTGACTCACCCTTTACTGAAGGGATTAAAAACATGAGTATGTTAACCCTGCTGAGAAAGTTTTAAGTCAACAATATTCAACACTTTCATAGGCCTATTCCAGACAGAGCACATCATCCCATGCTTGGTAACTTGTATTTTGAGTCTGCAGACAGGAATTAAACATGCCTACCACCAACACAATCTAAGGATTTTATAGTGTTGCAGAAGTGTCCACAAAGACAAACCAGTAAGACAGACTCAGCAGAAGAAGATTAAACCTTCTGCCACTGCTACCTCTAGTTTAAATGCATGAACATTAATGAAAAAACTCACCAACACTACTGCTGCCTAGAGGAGCCATAAATCAGAGACCCTAATTTGGGCATCTAATTTGGCATTAGGGACTCCTGTGTGTCAAGGCTTCTATAGGAACTACAATTAGCAAATGTGCGGATTTTTTTGAAAAACACCTTTCTTTTGTTAATTGAGCAAAGGAAGTATATCATACTCCTGGAGCCTGCACAACAGGCTGAACTTCAGGAACCTAATATAATTTCTATATGTATAAAATGAAAGGAGCTTTCTGACTAGACAAACTTTAAGCCAAACTCTTTACTCATTCACTGTAACATGTTGTCTCCATGGCTTACTTCCTAGTCAGCTACAAATACCTGCTATCAATGAAAAGACTTAAATTTAAAGGCAGCATAGTACTGGTGGAGACTGACCCATGCATGCATTGTTGCCTCAAAAAACAGCCCAATTATTTTTTTTCTCCATTTCCTTTATTTCAGACAATATTATGCAGATTATTATGAGCTATTTAGTCCAAGCAATCATAAACACTGCAGCACTAATACTCCAGTTTATTGGAATATATAAAATTTGACATATAAAGAATTTTCAGTATATGTATATGCATGTTTTTGTACAAGACTTTTTATCAACTGAGTTAATCTGCAAGCCTGAAAAATAGTAGGTGGTTATATTTTAGTGAGATACAGGCAAATTTTTTTTGTATCTTATCTACCACCTTTTAACAAAAGACTCTCTGTTGCAGGGCATGCCCCTATTAAATGCTGGATGTTGCCCATAATTTCTATTTCCTCAGCTCCTAGCAAAATTAGGGAAAACGTATGAAAGAGTAATTTTGCAGAAGGGCTGTGAAGCTTGAATGGTCAGATTCAAACCCAGTAAAAGAAACATAACTTCTTCTCTTCCCAAAAGACCTAATGATAATTTTATGTATGTATAGAATTCCTCTAAATAAAATTGCTGTTTAATTTCATACAAATAAATATACAAATAGGCAAATGGCACATTTGTCTTAAGTATGCATATGGGAAGATAGTGCAGGTAGCTCTCTAATGATGGAATGCAAGTGTCTAGGTGGAATAGACTAGATTCATATAGAATATTTCAGTTGTCAGAGAGCTACAGTGATCATTTAGTCCAAATGACCGATCAATTCAGAGACTAACAAAAGTTACAACACAGTATTGAGGGCCTTGATCAAATGTGTCTTTAACACTGACAGGCCTGGGGCATCAAGCATCTCTCTAGGAAGACTGATCTCTTTCATCAACTTCTTGGTAAAAAAAATGCTTCCTGAAGTCCAGTGTGAACATCCCCTTATGCAACTCTGAACTATCCTCACATACCCCATCATTGGATACCAGGAGAAAGAGATCAGCATCTCCCTTTCTCCATCCCCTCCTCAGGAAGCTGCAGAGGGCTATGAGATTGCTTCTCAGTCTCCTTTTTTTCAAACTAGACAAACGTGGTGTAAAACATTAGGACTCATTTACATTACTCACTGACTACATCAGTGAAAGGGGGAAGACAAACTGACCATTCAGTCAGTGCCCACCGCTACGAGGGAGATAATACAGGATGCTAGACAGAGTAACCTAAAACATCCCGACATGCCTGATCACAGTCCTGCTTATAGCTTTGCCTGGAAGGCGTTTAGCAAATCCCATATGTTGAGATCTCCTGATTGTTTCTGTTATGAGGTTATATTGATACTACCTTTTAGAACTTAATTTAAACATGACTAGAAGACAATATACTCATCTGACAACTCAATGCATACAAAAAAATATAACTGCTACTTAAATGGAATAGTTTGCACTACAGTAGATTCTACACTGTAGAATCACTAGGTTATATGAATGAAAACAAGGCCAAGACTCAGAAGTTAAATTAGTACTGTAACACATATTACCTTTGAGTATTTTATGTGTATTCATTAACAAGTTACTGCAGAATGACTGGTATATTTTGCATTTGTTTAATTCTGTATGAAAGGAGCTCAGTTGTATAAAAAGAATATTTCTGGAGTAATTAATTACACAGATTCTCATGTCTTGCCAAAAGGTGAGTCTGTGCAAACAATGAAGTTAATTTTAACACTTCCATAAAGTCACACTTACTGAGAGGTAACAAAATTTTCCCATTGACCTCAGCCTCGCAAGTTCCATTTCTGAGTGTCTAGAAATCAAAGCCACATGATTTTTAAAATACAAACATTTTTGTAAAAGAAAATCTTTTCAAATATATCATGAGAGGGTCTGCTTGAATAAACATTTCAAAATTATCAAAAATGTGTCAACTCCAATATGTGAAAATGCCCTTACTATACAGCAGAAGTTACAGACAAGCTGAAGGTGTAATCCTTTCCATTTTGAGAAAAACATGCTTGGGGTGAAAAAAATTTTTCAACTCAGAAGCTATAAATTTCATACCAGAATATGTGATTTTTATTGCAAAATTCAATGTGAAGTTATGGGCCTGCAGTCTTTGAAAAACAGATCCTGAAGATGCCACTCCTAATTGA